TGTGTGTTGCGTTGCTACTCGTACGCTTTTATTTATTCTGTTCTGCGCGACAAGGGAACTTCGAGAAAACGAAGAAGGTTTTACTTGACAAGGATACCGCTTGTCACACTCTTTCGTGAGGTTTTATTTTGCAGGGAGCGTCGTAATTAAGGCCGATACACTTTACAGTCGACTGTGAAGATGACTGCGTATAATAATAGTACGCTATATCATTTAGGAATACGGCCAACGCACCGAATTCGAATCTATGCCAAATACTTACGAACCGCCCTCACGAAATGGAAGGTGTTTAATTTTTGTAAGGCCTTTGCTCTGCCTCTGTGGTCTAGTGGTCAGAATTCCCGGATACAGATCCAGAGGCCCCGGGTTCGATTATCGGCGCTACCAGATTTTCTGTGAAGTAGTGGGTCTGGAACGGGGTTCACTCAGCCTCGCGAGGGTAATTGAGGAGCTACTTGAATGGAAAACTAGCGGCTCTGGTCTAGAAAACCGAAATTAACGTCCGTGGGGATCAGTTGCGCTGTCCACGCGACACCCTCTATCCGCTAAAAGTTGGCACTAACTTACCGACAAGCGGCGGTCGCTCGGTCGGTAGAGTTCGCTTGCAGACTAAAGCCACGGAGTTTCTTCTGCCCCACAGAGTCCGGACAGGTTTTATGTCCCACCCAGCCCCCTGTCCAATGGATGCTGTGGGTTCCTTCGAGAGTAAATAGGCCGGAGCGTCAAACTGAGCACGCACTGCATGTAGTGCTGAGGTCAAGAATGATAGAGCCCTATAAATCCAAATGGCGTAATGCTTAATCATTTCAGCACGGACAACTTTGTCTTACGCTTTAGCTATACTATCCACGTGTTGACGTCACTAAAAAGGTTTCGGTCTGCCTGAAAGATACGGCAGTCGTCACGGTGTAAAAGAGCTCAGTTAATTCAGGTACTGAGTAGAATGGAGCCGGGCGCTCATAAACTGCAGATCTGAAAAAAAAAAAAGTTGCAGGAGTTTGTATATCGGCATAATAAAAATGGTCATTCTATTTTTTCTCTCTCTGTCGTTGGGAACGGTTTTCAAAGCGTATGCAGGGAACAGAGAGGGAAAGATACGGCGGGAAAATAAATCTCAACTCGAAGGCACGGTATCGATCCGCTGCTGGGCGGAGCTGGAGGCTTGGGGGCGGAGCTTACCACTCACCTTCTGTTGCCTGATACTAGGGCTTGCGTGCATGTGTGCTAGCCGTCCCGTCTGAATGCTTTGCGTACACGGCGGTTTGTCATGACGAAACAACATGCGGCTTCATTCAGTAACATTTCCTTTTAAAGTCTAGATGGCATTATAGCTCGCCAGAAACAGCTTTCAGATTGATATGAGTTCGATCCTGTTTCATATGAATAATTTAGTGAAGTTGTATATTCAGGAAATTGATATAACTTGCTACGAATTCCCTTTACCAGATTTTGGGTTTGAAATTCAACAGTGTTTATGTAATTTGAAGTAAATACTTTATATTAACTGGGGAACATAGTGGGGTACTTCGAAGTTAGGGTATTTTCAAATGAAATTTATGGTTAAATTTGTCCACGCACCTACTCCCTGGGAAGACCAAGGCGTAGGTGGGTGGACAATATTAAAATGGATCTTAGAGAGATAGGATGGGATGGTGTGGAATGGATTGATCTGGCTCAGGAGAAGGACCAGTGGAGGGCTCTTGTGAACACGGTAATGAACCTTCGGGTTCCATAAAATGCTGGGAAATTCTTGAGTAGCTGTACAATTGGCGGCTCCTCCAGAAGGGCTCAAATCCATGAGTGATTAAGTAAGTAAGTAATGGGTAAATTGGAAGGATTTTTTTGTATTAAACTTTATGTTAGGCAGTGCAGTTAATTTTCAAAGTCTAGGAATGAGAAGGTGTTCATGCAAGAGCAAATCTTTAACATCAGTTTTAGAATTGGAAACATTTGAAAGCAGAAATCTTGAAGGGTGAGAAACACAGTATCTCTCAGAAAACGGCATGAAAGACATTTCGAAAGCGGTTTTAATCAGTGGGCTTCAAAATGAATACAAAATTCAGTTGGAGCTCTCTCAGTACAAATGCTGAATTGGTTACTAGGCCCAAAGATACTTGGTCCTGAAAACCTGAAATGATGACACTACTTTTGAGACCTAAGTATAGATGGAAGGATAATATTGAAATTTATCATAAAGGAACAGAGAGGGAGAACGTGGTCTAAATCCACCTGACTCAGGATAGTGACAAGTGGTTTGTTCTTTTGAACACCACAATGAACCTCCGAGTTCCGTGAAAGGCAGGCAACTTTTTCGCCAATGGACTGAGTATTGCCTTCTCAAAATTGGATCTGATCCGTGGATCTAAATTGCACAACGAGAGGAGGGCGCCTGTTGCATGTGGAAATCCATATTTTTTTTTATCCATTCCTGATTTTTTCTCGACCGCATTTCGACGAATTACGGGCCTAGGCCCGTGTGAAAATACACATCGGATTTATCAGTCCTGCTATCGTAGTAACCATTTTATTTTGCACTTATAGGCAAGCAGAAACTTTAATAAAAATATATTATTGTCACAACCGCTTGAGTGGCGAGATGTGACACAATTGCATCAATTCAAGAAACGATTTCAACAACAGCCTGCAATGAATGCTGGGCCGAGAATAACTGGCTACGTCCTCCTTGGTCCTTATGAGGAACCGCCTCGACTCTCAGGGGCCCCCTATAGAGCAACTGCTGGCAACGCGGCAGGCAGTGTGGGTACTGCATGATAGAACTCCTACCATTCTTCTCGCAATGTCACGCGGTATTCAGACAGCCACTAGCCAGGACGAAACGGACCAGTTTTGTGGCCTCCGCGATCACCCGACTTCTGCTTGTACGGCCATCGGAGGGGCACCGCTTACGCACAACGGTGTAACTCGCGGGACGCGCTTTGGAATGCCATTGAAGTGGCTGCGATGACAGCGCGCAACATGCTTGACGTCTTTAAGAGGAACAGGAATTCTTGGCGCTCAGATAGGCATTGTCTGTGATGGTGGTCCGTTTCAACATATGTTTGAAACAATCAATAACCGGCCAGAAGCCGTTCAGGTCACAGCTAATAAATTCTTTATCCACATCTACGTTATCTGTGTACATTTCGTCCCTCGTTCTTTCTGTTGGCATCTCGCTAAAGCGGCTCTTGCGAGCGTATGTATAGATATTGACCGTTTCTTTTCGGTTATTAGTGTGGAGCACGGTTGTTACGTTCAAGGTACATAATTAAGACTTGCTTTATTGTTATTATTATCATTATTACTATTTTTATTATGGTTCTGTATGTGTGATACTTGGTCTCCGACATTAAGGGAGGAATATAGCCTGAGGGTGTTTGAGAACAGGGAGTTGAGGAGAATATTTGGGCCGAAGAGGGATGAAGTGACAGGAGGTTGGAGAAAACTGCATAATGAGGAGCTTCATAACTTGTACTCTTCTCCAAGTGTAATTAGAATGATCAAGTGAAGGAGAATGAGGTGGGCAGGGCATGTAGAACGAATAGGGGAGCACAGGCATGCATATAGGATATTGGTATGAAAGCCAGAAGGAAAGAGACCACTGGGAAGACCAAGGTGTGGGTGGGTGAACAATATTAAAATGGATCTTAGAGAGATAGGATGGGATGGTATGCATTGGACTGAGGTGGCCACAGAATAGGGACCATTGGAAGGCTCTTGTGAACACGGTCATGAACCTTCGGGTTCCATAAAATGCTGGGAAATTCTTGAGTATCTGCAGAATTGGCGGCTTCTCAAGAAGGGCTCAGCTCCGTGAGTGGGTGATTATTATCTAGCTACAGCTCTCTATTGGGCCTTGGCCGACTTTCAGTTTTTTGAGCCCATCAGTAGTCGTTAGAAGGACGATAGATAGATAGACAGACAGACAGACAGATAGATAGATAGATAGACAGACAGACAGACAGACAGACAGATGTGGAATGCAAGGTAGATACAATTGGGTAACGTCGCAGGAACACGAATCCTTGCTGCCACACACAGTCATGAAGTGCATCGCATTTGAAATACAGGCGTTTCCAAAGCGATACCATACAGAGAAGTATCGTGAAGAAAAGAGAGGCTGAAAACATTGCTCTGGAGTAGCACTCTCGAGTTTGCCTGTCCCTCAGAGCGGAACAGTTTGGTTTGAGACTGCCAGCCAAGGATTTGCTCAGTTCCTTCTATCGTCTCACTGTGGCGCGTGCAGTTAGAAAGCGGCGTTTTTGGAAATATCTTGTGCATAGAGCGATTTCACGGACGATGTCTTTTAATAATCCACCTTGAATCTTTAAATGGATAGGTATAATCACGATAGAACCGCATTACCTATGTCAAGTCTCATTTATCGCATTAACTTAAAGCACTGTGAGGGTTGATGTCTCATGTAGGCCTGTGCCTAGACAGATGGCCTGTTGTCGCTATATTGTTATTGCTCTCGTCTTGAATGCGAGGATACTGGCTGGATTGAATTTGTAGAACAGGGACTGGCTTGGGGTATGTTTTGCAAACGTCATACTCAACGTTTCTATTCCATAAAAGGCGAGGAATTTTTCGATCAGTTGAGGAAGTAGGGGCTTCTCAAAAAGGATTACGCTTTATGAAGTACAAATTAAGAAAGTTGTCTCTGACTACGCCATAAAGACATATGGAGGACTGCACGTATAAACTCACGTTTTCTGGTCCTCGGCACTGGTTCCCCGAGCACTTTACTCCCGAGAGAAGGAACCCTCGGTACTTATTGGACAGGAGGTTGTGTGGGCCCCATAGCCGGTCTGGACAACAAGGAGAAGTGAAAATTCATGCCCTCACCGGGAATCGAACTCCTGTCTCTTGGTCGTCCAGTCCGTAACCAATCTCTAGCTCTCATACAAAAAAAAAAAGAAGCAATGTTAATGTCTGTGAACAGAACAACACGTTGTATTGTTACGGAGCAATTGTTTAATAAGGCACTTGCATTGTTACAGGTTTGGAAGAGTTTTCCCTGCTAAAATGATGCAAAACGGCATGGACGCCGTGCCGCAGCAAAACGGCACTATGCATACCAACTCGTCAACCTCGTCTTCAAATTCACACAATTCCTCTTCCCAAACGAATGCTGGAGGCCAACAAGAGGAGAGCAAGACAAACCTCATCGTGAATTACCTTCCGCAGACGATGACCCAGGAAGAAATTCGATCCCTCTTCTCTTCCATCGGCGAGGTTGAAAGCTGTAAACTCATCAGGGACAAAGTTACAGGTAAATCTACGATTGTTAACCAAATTTACTGGGCCCGTATATTTTGTACAATTTTGAACACCCTGTACATCTTTCAGCTGAGATGTTAAATGAATTTTTGTGATAATCATTTGGGTTCACATTGGCTTTTATTTTAAAAAAATGTAAAAGTGTAAGTAACATAAAAGTTACCCATATTGTTTTGCATAGGGATGGGCAACAGTTTGTTCTGTAGAATGTTATATCTTCGCGATGGTGATAATATTCTTGTTATTTTCTAAACCAAGTTCAATTTTCGATTTGTTTTTAGACACCGACTCAGAGCCGTGCTCCAGTATTCTTGGTCGTGAGTACAGTTTACATACTACAATACCGATATCATATATAAATTTCGAAGCGATATGGTATTGATATTTCTTTTTGAACTTCTAGAATTTGCCCATCCCTGCAATTAACAAATTTCTGAACAGAGAATAAGTTTAGATTGAAATAACATAACTTCTTTATCTGTCCTACTTTCTAACAGTTATGCATTTATGCTACTGTCACTCCCAAACTTCTTGTTCCCATGCATGGAGCACTGAGGATACTGGCGTTTGCTTTCTGTACTGACTTCCTAATAGCACACATTGAATGGAAGCTTTTATTATTATTATTGACAGGAGTCCTCGTTTGTAGCGTTAGGGTAGGTTTCCATGGTGACAGCCTGATTGACCAAACCGTCATACCATCGTTGCGTCACGCTATATTGGATCAGTGGAACTGCTCTCTTCATATTGATTAAACAGAAGGGCATGTAATGGTTTTTCCACACTAAATTAAGTAATGAAAATGTGTTAGGATTTTGTTTCAATCACATCCTAGCCTATCTTTTTTGGATCCGGGTTTGTAACACTAGTAAAACAGAGACAGGCTAGCCATTGATAGTCTAGGATTTATATAATTTGAATCTCTGTAAAATTCCATGTACAGAATTTCTGTTTTACAATTAATTTTTATGCAGTTCAAAATAATCGATAATTATAGTCATCCATATGTTTGTCTTCGCAAGGAAATTCAAATACATAACATAGTGTTGTAAATACGAACCCGAAATTTTCGGATATTCTTCACCGTGTCCCCTTTGCTTCTTAGAATTCTTTCGAGCCTCATTATCAGTTTTTTTGACTTTGAATATGGAAACACAGCACATATATTCACCTTGTGTGTAACTGCATATTTGTCTTATCTGGATGTTGCATGCATGCCTTTTCTTCCAAGCTTATACAGGATGATTCTAAATTATTGTCGGAGTTTCTGTGACCTATAATTTTCAAACCGGAAAAACAAAATGAAACTGCTGACGGAATATGAAAGCGTGACTCAAAAAATGTTTGACCTTAATGCGATGATTACAATATTGCAAAACAATACTTTTTGAGTTACACTTTCGTATTCCATTAGCAGTTTTATTTTGTTATATCCAGCTTGAAAAATATAGGCCACAGAAACAACGACAATAATTTAGAATAAAATTGTAATTTGAAGTTAAACACCACTAGAGATAACGATACACAAGTCAGCTTATTGTGATATAGTGATATGTCATTAGATATGTTTAAATATTTGTATTTGATGTTCAGTAAGTGCAGTTTGATATCCTTGTGTCAGCAAATAAACAGGAACAGAATATCCTGATTAATTTGAAAGCAGTTTGTTTTGTTTTCGTAGTCCATATATTTTTAACAATGATTTCAGTTAGAAGTCTGCATTGAAGAGGGCTTTGGTAGGTGTCGAAATGAGTGTTCTTGGAGAATTAGATCATATTTGCAGCCATAAAATTCTCATACAGTGTTTGTTGGCAGGGAGAAAAGTTTTAGTCATCATATGACTCACAATAAGCTGAATATAAACCGTTTTTGTTCGGTAAATGTTGCACTACTATTGATGGTAGGTGTTGTAGATTATAAACATATACGCATAAATGTACTTTGAATTTTGTTCTTTTAATCAGATATGAAAGTGACATTTCCTCGAAGAAAATAGCCTTACTATTCTGCAGGTAAGAGCCTGAGGCTTTTGTACTGTTTGGTGGTATTTGGCCTTCAATACAACAGTCAAAATAAAATATAAATAAACCAATCGAACTGCTTACATTGGTTTAATGTAATACTTGCTATATGTTTCGGTCCTCATATGGGGACCATCTTCAGGAAATTCTTGCAAATACGTATCTTTCTATTGAACTGTCCTAATATGGATCCATATTAGTGCTAATCATCACAGTCATATAACACATGCAACCGCCACGAACTTGCAAGAATTTTTATAATTTATTTTTTAATTTAAATTTAAAATTCTGTGTTGTTTCTGTATTTTTGTTCCTAATTGTAGGCTGTACTTCGCCCGGGGTTCGCTGTTATACTATGTTACAGAATCTATNCTTCCCGGCGCTACCACATTTTCTGAGGAGTAGTGGCTCTGGAACGGGGTTCACTCAGCCTCGTGAGATAATTGAGGAGCTACTTGAATGGAAAAGTAGCGGCTCCGGTCTAGGAAACCGAAATTAACGGCCGGGGGGATCCGTTTCCCAGACCACGTGACACCCTCTATCCGGTAAAGTTCTCACTAACTTCGCCGACAAGCTGCGGTTGCTGGGTCGGTATAGTTCGTTTGCGGGCTACAGGCCACGGAGTTTGTATATTTGTGAATTCTGGCCCTCCTATTTGGGTTACCTTTGTTTTTGTTAGTTACGTAGTTCGTAAATTAGAATTTTGAGAATCATAATTTTAAATCAACTCCTGTTATCATATTTTACTTGACCATACACATAATACAACCAAACCGAAAAATATCATCTATCACATTTTAATTTTGTAAATGTTCTGTTGAAAGCCATGAAATATCTAAACAGTTTATTTCAAACCGTAAAAATTAGTTGGTATATACACACACTGATTTGCACATTATTTTAATTCTTATCAAAGTCTGATGTCTGTGATACGTAACATCACGGAATAATAATAACAGTTCAGGAAAAGGTGTATGTGCGTATTTAGGGACTTCCCTTACTTTGAAAATAAATGGGGTATAGCGCATATAGAGAGTTAATAGGGAGTAATTATTTGCTTACATCTTTTGTAAATCGACTCTATTAGATCAAAAAATATTTCCAACTCACTTTCTTTTAATATTACCACACTGTTGGATATTTAAAAACTCAATTTACGTTTTGCAACGAACAAAAATTGCAACACTCGTTTCCAAAGGTGCAGATTCGTTAAGAAAAATATTCAAGCATTTAACTCATGGAATTTCATCTTTTTATTATGGGATTTAGAGGTAAAAATTAATAATTTTAGAGGTACAGAGAAGGAAACAAATATGAATGGAAGAAATCCCCCTTCACACGGGTTTAGATTTTTTCCTGGTGAGTGAGGTGTTTTTAATACCCCGTAACTGGGATCTGTTATCAAGCCCTCACAACAGCTGGTATACTGCTCGGCTGGGTGACTCTGCGGAAGTGAAGGGGCAGGTGGTGTGTGCTTCTGGTGTGGGAGTTCGCGTCCGTTAAACTTTACGTTGGCACTTTAAAAGCTGAGTATGTATGTTCAGAATTCTGGTACCCTCTAGGAATACAGGAATTTTTAGGCTCACCACTGTGACAAATCTGTCAGACTTTGCGGTGATATAGAGCTAATTTCCTTATCCTAGTCCACAAAATATAACAGCTCCTTCCTTTTTTTCTAAGGACAGGTTTTTCTATATTCTCGAGGTCTGTTTTAGCCTCAGGGTCGAATCCTACAGTGCACTTATAGATGTGCGACATGACAAATTTTGCAGTAGGCATCAACTGTTTCCTTCTACTGGCTGAAAAATAACTATAGTTAAAACATATTATCTTCCTTGTTCTGAAAATAGTCCATATTGTTGTCATATTTTCGTGCCTTGTGCTAAACGTCATTGAAGTAGTCTTAAGGATGACATTTCTTTGGCCTGCTTAACAACAGAGGCTTAGAAATGCTCACTCATATTCCCACGTTATTAATTAGTTTTATTTTTAAGAGAGCATAAATTCCTAGAAATTGAAGAGACTAAACTCTAGTTAAATTCAGATATTTGTAGCCTAGAATGCCTCTGAGAAACAACTGGTCACGTGACTCGGAATGATGTATTTAAACATGTACAGTTCATACATAAGTAGGGGAACCCGGTAGCATAGTTGGTTGAGGCACTATGCTACAAGCCGAAGGTCGCGGGATCGAATCCCGAAGAGGTGGATATTTTCAATTTGCCTAAACCTTCCAGCCGCACTATGACCCTGGGGTCGACTCAGCCTCTAACAGAAATGAGTACAAGGAATATGCTTGGGGGTAAAGGGCGGCCGGCGCGTAAGGCTGGCAAACTTAATGCCATCTATGAGCCGATTGTCTAGAAAATGTGGGAACCTCGACATGTCACAACCCTATGGGCATCTACGGCTTGTTACAGGGATGCCGTTACTTATTTACTTACTTTTACAGTTGCATCAAGTAAGTTTCAATGGACGACGGTCTATGGATTGTGTAGTAAAAGAAACAAAACGTAATATCGCATTTGATCGTGAAGTAATCGTGCTATAGAACTTGCTAATCTCAGATTTTAAAGCAGACCTTCTTTCCCGAGAGAAAGTTCGCCTGGAGACATATTGTTAGGCCTGGAGGAACATAAATCTTTGAAAACAACTTTAGACTTTACATAAGGAATAGAACATAGAAGCTGAAAGCTAGGAAAGTGGCAGAACTTGTAAAGTTTATCATATGATGAAGATACTATAACTTTAAAAGCAGAAAACATCGCGGTTCTGGTTTTTCGTTAATTTTTTTATAAATTTTAGTATAAAGATTTGTGTTCCCGCAATATTTGTAAGCAAGTTTATAGGCTTATTAGGTCTGTACCCTTTATCTAAAACCCGAAAGGTCCTGAACCGCCAGGTAATATTTCTAGCCGTATATGCAGTGAATCGAATTCACTGGAGATAGATCCTCAATGCCGATGTATAGTTCAATGGACTTCCCGAGTAATTGGTCTCCTACGAAGTCTGCCAGCAATTTTTCATTCGAAGCACAGGAAGTGAGTGACACATTCTCCACTCTGTATATGCTTCAGTTTGTTCTGGCAGCTGTATCGCCTTCATTTCCTCGGAGAATGTTGGAACAGTTCCTCCGAGTCTGCATTCTGCAGGGCTTACACACACACACAGAGGCCACATTCAGAGAATTTCAGGCCCATATGACAACGCAATGCTGTAGGATACTCAGCTGTGCAAAACAAAGTTAGAAGAGATATTATCTGAAATAGTTTTTTGGACCGAAGACAGATGAAGTG